TAAACTTTTTTTATTATTAATATAAACTTTAATTTTATAATCTTAATTCATTATTATTAATATTTGCAAAGCATTTACCTTTTTCTCTGATGTTTTTTAAGAAATTTAGTTCACAAAAATACTTTTGCTGTAAAGAATATTTAGTTATTAAAAAAAATATATATTGATATTGTTTTTTTCAACACCTAATTTTTTCAAATCAAACAGAATTTCAATGAATAATCTTTCAACCTTTATATACATTGGATATTTATTTTGAAAATAATACTTAGCTTCATTGATTTCGGTATGATTCTTTATTATTTAAGCAATTATATTTGTGTGTTTAAATCCTTAAATTTATCAATCTCGACTATTATACATCAAGAATCACAATGATTGTTTATTTGATTCTCTCAATTCTTAAATTCTGATAAGTATATTTCGGCTTGGCTTTGCCATTTTGTTAAATCTTACAAGAACGAATTTTACTTCGGCATTATCGGATGATTACCTACTTATGGAATTGGTCATCTTTGTAAAATGAGAAAGGGGTAATAATATATCAATCATGGTCGACTGATAAGTTCAAATTTTTATAGCTTTCAAATGTAAGCCATATTTATTTTCGAATATCCAATAATTCTTTCAAAAGTTATTTCGTCGTTCTTGCCCTTTTCTTGCGAAGAACTTTGGAAAAAAAATCTAACGAAAAATTTTTCTTGAGTGAATAATAAACTTGTTGCATTAAATTATCTCTTTGGAATTATTGTATTCTTGTTTCCTTATCGTAATTTAGTTTTAAGCAGGAAGATGGGGCATCATTTGGGGAAGTTTACTAGGAAAATCAGTCTCGGGGAAATTTTTTGACTAAAATTAAGACCTTATTACATTTTAATCTAAATAAAAATCAAAATTTTGTTAAAAAATTCCCAGAACTTGATTTTCCTAGCAAACTTCCCACTTAATGAATATGTCAACTAATGTTTTTGGACGAAACTATATTTCATCCAAAACCTAATTTGGTAAAATTATACATCAAATTATGAAAAAAGTTTCGTCCAAACTCTGCCTATGATTAAACCTTTAATATAAATGGACTTTATTATTAAAATTAAATATTAAGTTTATTTAATTAGTCTCTTCTATATCTACCCAAACCCATTCACCTTTCACCCATTCTTTAACTTCTTCAAACGTTCCTATTGGTTTAGGAAATTTATCAAATTCATACTTTTCTTGTTGTAATATATCATAAAATGTTTTATATGTATCGATAACATTATGCTAAATAATAAATATATATATTTTTTTTATATTTTAATATTTAATATATAAAAAGGTGTTAAATTATAATAATTATTAGTATTGTACCTGCATCGGTTTTAATAAAATATATTCGGTTTTACGATCTTCGAGATATTCCGACATCTTCGTAATTATATATCGTAATCGAGCTTGTACAGAATTTTGAAATGATTCGTAAACTTCAACAATTTTTGCTAAGAAAATTTTATTAATACACAATTTTAACGCAATATAATTAACTATACGTTCATATAATTTTTAAATTTTTATTTGAATACCTGGATCGGCGAAACTTTGATTCTTTAATAATGTTTGATGATTTTTTGGTTTAAGATTATTTCTTATTTTAAATGCAGATACCTTCAATATAAAAGACGATAGTGGTTCGATAGCAGCCTGAGCACTTTCTGTAATGAACTCTTCACAAATTCTTTTCAACTCTTTATCAACTTCTTGCTTCGAATCAACTCTATTTTCAACTACTTTTGGAATCCCTTTTTGGGCTAAACCAAATAAAGTATTTGGGCTCAATATTGAATACTTGTTTTGTAAAATTTCACTTAGTGCGACTAATTGTATATCAATAATAAAAATTATTTTAATATATAACATTATTATACTGTTATATGTATAAGTGTAATTTAATTACCTGTCATTTCTGAAAAATCTAAATCTTTCTCTTCGTGCACAAATTGTGTATCAAAAGATGCAATTTGATCTTTGAGAATTAATAGATGTTTTATCAAAAATAGCTGACCATCAAGTTTGTTCTATAACAATATATAAAGTTGTCAAAATAAGAGAGAAAAAAAAATATTTCCATAAATACATAAATATTAATTTTTTTATGTAACCTCCTTAGTTATAGACTCGCTCGCAGATAATAAAGATTGCAAACATAAATCCACAATTTCCTGAGCTATATCATCAAAAATGGTGGTCTATATATATAATGATAAATGTAAATAATAAATAACTGAATATAAATATAAATATATATTTATATTTCAACATGAAAAATTTTTTGAGAGATCAAAATATACATTAACACATAGATAAAGCTTTGAAAGAGTCCATAATGTTCGTTGTAATGTAGGGAACCATCCCCTATACATATCTCCTGTATCAATAACATTTGTAGATAATACAAAAGATCTCATGGATTCATTATCTCCATTATCTTGTTGAACTGCTAAAATAGCTGGTGATGATGATGGAGATTCTGTAGAGTGATTATCTGAAGAAGTTGCATTATTTTCGCTATTTTCGACTTTTCCATTTATGCCTATGTATATATTATATTTATTTTTATTTTTGAAATCAAATTATTAAAACATCCAACACATTAATTACAAAATGTAAACACGAACTTTTAGTCCAAACCTTTTAGCTTATTTGGATAATCCAAATCAGACGGTTGTGGAACAAAGTTTTGTATTTCACTACGAATAAAAGTTTGTACACGAAATACAAGACGTTGTTGTGTATCCTGAAGGACATTGCGAATTAAATGACTAAATTGTAATCTTTGGCCTTCCGATTCTAAAAGTAATTAACATGGTGTATAAATATCCTTTTTTTTTTTTAAAAAAAAAAGAAAAAAGTGTAATTGGTTGGTTCGTACCTCCGCTTTTTACGTTATCTTGATTCGAGTGCATTTGAAGTATAGTGCACAATTCAGACAATGTTTCAATATTAGTTTCATGAATAATTCGGGGCCTTAAATAATCATACATATAACTACACAACAAATCTAAATTCCCACTATGAATCAACAAAAATTTATATTCATAATTAGAAATTCCCAAAAAAAGTCAAAAGAACATTAGAACCGCTATAAAACATACTATAAATCATCTTCGCCTGTTGAGAAGAAATTATAAAACAATGAATACTCGTCCGAGCAGAGATTTAAAAGATATGCGTAACCATTTCGAGCCTGCAACAAAAAATAACTTAATTTATATATAATAAATATAAAAATAATTATAAAAAAATAAGCCTCACAAATGAAAGTATGTCTTGACCGGTAAGCCCTAATTCTTGGATTTTTGAATAAATTACAGGAATAAGTAACTGTTGTCGAACAGAAAAATACGCATTATAGCAATCATTTAACAAAGAATAATATCTATAAATGTATTAATGTAAGTAACATAATAATAATAATTAAATAAATAAGGTGCATTATTATTTATAACATACTCTCTATGTGATGGACATCTTTCCTCAATTTCATTAACCAATTCTTTTAGCTTTGGTGCTATAGCTCTAAATTTTATATAAAATAAAGCTGACTGGACTGTTGAATGAACAATCTATACAATAATAGAAATTAATATAATAGAAATAAGTAAATATACAATTATACTTATATTACCTGATTGTTTTTTTTTGCTATTTCCAATCCGAGACCCTTAATTGCACTGATAAAGTACATTTTAATCAAAGCCATCCCTCTTGTCATACATTGTCTGAATCTCATAAGATATAGTTCAGAATCTCTATATCTAAGCTAATGATAAATTGAAACATCATAATCAATATAATGTTCGTGACTCAATAAATAATATTAATTTATTCATACATTGCTCTGCATATATTCTAAGCATTCATCTAACTTTGCCAGTATTGGTATAAATTCCTTCTGCTCACAAATGTTCTCCCCTGGCGAATTAAATAATTTTGTAATAGTTTCCAGTTCATTGTAATATGAAAGCTTAGCGGATATTGAATCTGCTAATGATGTAAGGTTATTCTTTTTTTATCAATATTTTTTAAAAACATCAATTAGTTAAATATAAAATTTATAAATAATTTAAATGATTATTTAATTAAATCAACCTGCTCATCCAATAATTTTTCACACGCTGTCTGCAAAGCTTTTGTTCTTTCCTCAACAAACTTAAAGTTATCATCCAAATCATTAAATAATTTAACTGTAGTGTCAATCTGTTCCAAAAATTTATCGCAAGATTCTCTATACATTGTGACTACTACTAAAAAGTTCCTAATAATAAATTTAAAAAGGTTTCTTATATATCATAAAAAATAACTTCAATGATAATTAAAATAATTACTCACCTATATACATCTTCTTGATCTTTTTCCATATCAGCTTCCATTCTAGCAAACCAATCAAAAAATTGTTGCGTGGTTTCGATTGGTTGAGGTATACCGAGTGACGCATCAGGCGTTGATGCGGCTGCAGCTTCGGCTGCTTGGAATTCAGCTGCTAAAAGGTTCGTAGTAGACCGTGATTTGGGAATGGGTAAAGGTGAAGAACTTAAACGAGAATAAGGTGTTTGTTTATGATTATCTTTGACAGATGGAGTGGGTGATGCTGTACGTTGTGGGGTTCCTGGTCCAAGATCACTTAAAAACTATTAAGAATAAAATTAATAAGTTGATCATAAAAGTTTTATCAATTGGATTGGATCAAGATAATATATCTTACTCCTTCAGGAAGAGGTAATTCTGCACAAGCATCTTGTAATTCTAGTACACCCTGTCTTTGTGTTTCTGTAAGTTGAGTTTTTGCTTCCCATTCTTCTAAAGTTATTCCTTTGTATCGGGATGTAATAATTGTAGACATTATTTCTAAGGAGAGACGAGAATAAGATTTTTTTAATTAATTATAATTTGTGACAGGTTACGCATTCCATTTATTGGTTAAATTTACTGCATGATGATCTACATTGACATTTAGTTTTACTACCTGCCAAAAAAGCTACGAGGAAAGAACAACGATGATTAGACAATATCTTTTCGAAAACGTACGTTCTTTCAAATATAAAATAAGGTTCAATATGTCCAAAGACAGTATATGTGTAAACATACAAAAAGCAGTTAACAAAAAATTATACATATCGAATGTACCCTCAAATCGAAGCGTCATTCCATTATCAATTAAAACGCATGTATTCCAAATTCTCGACTCACGAGACAGCGGGTTAATTCTCGCCTTTTCGCTTATATGCTCAAAGCTAAATACCAAATAAATTTTTATATCCAGAAATAGTATTTTTACACCTAAATCGAGTTTGCAAATACTCACTCTTTATTCAAATCTATTAATATGGCGGGATTTATATTTTTTGGCTGCATTTTCTACCAATTTACCTATAATTCCATTTTTATATAAATCTATATCATGTTATATTTTCTTGGCAAATTTCTTTACTATCACAAAGGAACTTTAGAAAAATCAGATTATAATGAAATAATCTGATACACATAAAAATCAATATCATTTATCTTTTCTCTAAACAGTTTACAGTTAGCATTTAAATCAACTTTTCACAAGTCATGTTCAATTAAGATCTGTTCTATTCTTTTAGGTTTATCATTTTCATTTATGATACTAGTTATTTAATCCAAAAATTGTATTCTTCATTTTTAGCTATTTGCCATCAGATTTTAAGTTCATTTACTGATCATAAGAACATTAGAAATATTATCAAAAGCAAATAATTAAGGAAAATTGCTTTTTATCTAGTTAAATGCAAATATGTACTTCATCAGATATAAAAGAATTTTTTTTAAATGTTTTTATACATTTTTAATTTAAACTAGTCATATAATTCTAATAAAACTTTACTATTAAATGTTTGTTTTACTTTCATAAAAGTTGTGGTTTCGTTTGCAGCTTTTATAAGAAGCCACTTGGTCTATACTTATTAAAATATATTAAAATTTTCATCTTTCCAGTAAAAGATATGGAACACTATTTTATGTTCTAAGCTTGTAATATCTAACCAAGTTAACTCAAGAGGTTGAGCTTTTTCAAATTTTTCAGTCGAAGAATCCAAATAAAATGAAAATCATACCAAATTAATGCAGCTATTTTGAGTGATTTCATGGCGTAGCATTCGGGGTTATATTTCCTTTTATTAAGCCATTTAAGTATCGAAATCAGGAGGTTTTTTTAAAAAAGAAATCTATAGATTTAATGAAACGAAATCTGTTCGTTGTTATCAAGATATTGACGATAAAGAAGAAAACAAAAAAATAACATATTGTGTCTTTATTAAAAAGAAGTGAATTACAATATAAACAAAAAAAATAAAATAAAAAATAAAGATCTATTTTCCCTCTTATCTATGCTATGCATTTTATAAACGAGGATATGAGAGAAGATTTGATGCAGTTTCACGTGTCAACTAGTATTTAACAAAGTGATGGATGTTTATAATCTCCGCGTTGTTACTATACTTTTAAGTCCGTACTTGTTAAAATCAAAGGTCTCGCCTCACCAGGATATTCTCTCGTAGGTTTCGCAAGTGCTACCGGCACACTTAACAATCCATCCATTCGGAATTGACTCTCTCTCTTTGATTGATTATTTTTAAGATGACTGATTTCTTTTGTGACAACTAATTGAAGAGGTCTGAGCTTCGAATCTGAAATTCTGTTTTTAACCTTTCTTCTTTGATTTAAAATTATAAATACTAGAATCAGTAAAAGTAATATTACGACCACCGTCAAGAGTATTGCCATGACTATCAATGCGTTATTTGATGTTGCCACCTCACGTTTTACGTGCAAGTGAGAACTTGAGGACCTTTTATAGTGTGAAGTGTGTGAGTATATCATCTTTAAAAAGGTATTTATTAGAAGGTCAAGTTAAAAAGCGAATTTTTTTTTCTTTTTTTTCTTTTCTTTTTTAAAAAAGTGTCATCCACTCGGTTTAAAAAAAAAGAGTAAAAAAAGGGCAGAGATTTTATCATTCATAATAAATAAGGGAAAAAAATTTTTTTTTTTTTTCCCTTTAACGAGGATTGCTATTTAAATTTATTCCAGTGGGAATATTCTATCAAAAAGGTAGATATTTAGATGAAGAAACAGGTTAGAATGACAACCTTTTTAAATACTCATTTATCTATTCAATAAATTTATTATATACATGAAAACGAACTAAATCTTCATAATAAGATGATTTTTTTAGTAAGGGCTTTATTTTTGTAAATAAATAAAGATTGTATTTATATCTGTCACACTTTACATTGTATGTTTATAATTAACATGAATTCTATAAATATAACAAAAGTCTCGTGCTTTTTCTTGGAATTTCGACTTAAACGTTTAGTTTAAGTTAAATGTTTTTCCTACATCAAAAAATATATTTACATGGTGATACACTCGTGTTCTGGTATACGCCTTTTGAGTTTCATTTCTTTTTCTTGGCAGTTTCTATAAATATCTATAAATTTCCAAACAAATTTCCCGCGTTTAAATTTTTAAGTGTGATTAGTGTGGGTTCAGTTTTTTGTCATGCGCACTCCATTCGAAAAAACAACTCGATTATTTATACTTACGTTTCCTCCGTGATCTTTTGGGGACAAAAATAAACTTGATAAAATGAGAGATCCCTGGAAGTCAATGATCGGCTGAATCCGGTTAAATGGTTTAAATACATGATGCGAAGGTTATCCCTTTTTGATTGGATTCATTAATTTCTGTCACACAACTTTATGTCATTGTTACGGATTTACCACAAAGTTTTTCACCGCGCGGCATTAAAGAAAGGGCATCCTTAAAATAAATATCACGGGAGAAAAAACAGTTACGGCCCAGAACAGGATAAATTTACCCTTAAAGAAATTGACCATGTGACGAATAAAAGTGACAAATATGATTTCGCATCCGGAATACTTATGAAAATGGAAAACGCGGAGGGTGTGACGCGGGTGACAAATATTTCTATGATCACGTGGGCGTGAGCAAAGAATGTAAAGTGTAATATTTTTATGTGTAATATTTTATGAAATTCTTCATAACCGAACTTCTCTTGTTCTTCATTTATTATTTATTTATCCGTATACAAAAAGCTTTGTTTTTTTTCGCCATTTCCCTTGCATATGTAATCAAGAATATGAGATGGTTTATAAGACGTGGACTTACTTCTAATATATTTTTTCGGAAATTGATCCTGCCGTACACCCCTCTTTTGAATTTGCTCTTTGTTTAACTGAATTTTTTTTTATTTTAAGAAAAAAAAAAAAAATGCAAATTCCATAAGCGTCATTTTATTTTTAATAACAAAAAGACCCCGTCTTCCTGATAATATAATTCGACAAAAATTGAAACACCAGCAACACATCAATTAATTTGCATCTTTGTTTAGATGATGAATTTTGCCCATGCATAAAAGAAATTGATAATTCCTTTAAGAATATTGTAACCATGTTCGATAGTTTATTATGTATTGTTAACCATTCGGAAAAGGAAATATGTTTTTTTTTTCTATAAACCCCGATTTTAGCGATTGTACCATTAATTACCATATTTGGAAATCTTGACTTTCGATAATTTAATATAAATACATTCAACTATTCTTTTTTAACGCCGCCGAAAAATTTTTTTTTTGGTTTATATTTATTTTCTTTATGATGAATGTTAGTGAACAACGTTATGTACCAAAGAAAAAGGTTAAGGAACTTTATTCGAGGCAAGAGCTTGTCGGTAGAGGTGCTTATGGCGCTGTTTATAAAGGGTAAGATAAATAGTTTCGGTAGAAAAAAACAACAAATATTATATATTTATTTATTTATTTATTTATTTTCATTACCTTTTTATCTTTTAAAATAGGATAAATAATGAAACGAATCAAGTCGTAGCTATTAAAGTGCTAAACCTGGATACAGAAGAAGATGACGTTGGTGATATTATCAAGGAGATAAACTTATTATCTCAACTAAAGCATAGTGATTCTCAAAGTATAACTAAATATTATGGAAGTTTTCTTCATGGTACAAAGTTATGGATTATCATGGAATACGCCGCAGGCGGAAGTATTAGGTCATTGGTAGGTTTATTCAATCGCTCGAAAACCTGTTTTAATCGAGGATTTAACATTTTTTTTTTTTTTCTTTTTATTTTTCTTAGTTGAATGCTGGTCCCTTAGAAGAAAAATACATATCATTGATAACAAGGGAAGTCCTACAAGCATTGATTTATTTACATAAATGTAAAATTATTCATCGGGATATCAAAGGTAAAAAATTTTACTTTCAAATGGTATTTTCTATAATTTAATTGGTTTTAATTTAATATCTTTTAATAAATGATCATAGCGGCAAATATTTTATTAACGGAAGAAGGAAAGGTTCAATTGTGTGATTTTGGTGTGGCAGGACAATTAACAGCTTCATCCGCAAAAAGAACATCATTTGTTGGTACACCGTATCCTTTTCGATTATCAATTATCATACTTTGATGAAGCGTGGGACGTGCTTTTACAGAAAGAATTTTGTTGTCGTGCTTTGGGAAAAGTTTTGGAAAGGATTACGAATATGCGAGATTAGATCCCGGGAAGTTGAAAGGATGCCTACAAAAATCTTCAGAAATTGATGGTGGTTCAATATTATTTCCTTAACTTACGAGATTTTTTATAGATATTGGATGGCACCTGAAGTAATAAAGGAGGGAGCAACTTATGACACAAAGGTTTGCAATCAGAGATGGGTTATGATTACATTCACTTAATAAGAATTAATTCATCATGTTATGTTATCAAATAAAATTCAGGCGGATATATGGTCTTTAGGGATTACTGTAATCGAAATGGCTACAGGAAATCCTCCTCATCATAAATTAAGTGCTATGAAAGCCATACAACTTATACCAAAAACTCCTCCGCCTCAGCTAGAAGATAAATTTTCTGTTCACATAAGAGAACTGGTTTCTTTATGTTTAAATGATTATTCAGAACAGGTAAATATCTTTTTAAAAAATTTTTTTTTTTAAAATTGGGAATTTTTTTCCAAGTAAAATTATTATTGCTTTTTAGAGACCCACAGCAGAGGAATTAATGAAATCTAAATTCATAAAAAGTGCTACAAAGCATCCAATTGGGTTATTAAGAGAACTTATCGCAAAGTATGAACAATGGAGACAGACAACCGGATTTCGCCATTCATTCCAAGATCCTAATGGGACTCCGTCGAGGTTTAAATCAAATAAACTTTATTTATATATATTTTGATTTAAATGTTGATCACTAATTTTTTTTTTATTGATTTTAGTGAAAGTGATTCATATGATTTTGAGGAGAAACAAAAGGAAGAAGAGGATGCTTGGGTGTTTGATACAGTTCAAAATACAGTAAATCATCGTAAATCACATTCCTTGGGATCTCTTATCAGTAAATCAGATCAGTTATCACCCGTAATGGAGGGAGATGAACAGCAAGGATTTATAATAGATAAAAAACTAAATGGAATATCTGGAGATGATACGGATAGAACTGTTGTACCAAAAGATACAACTTTTAGATATGGAAGAATAATAACTGAAGGTTTTCTTTCGCCTTCAAAACCAATATTTCAAAGAAAATATTCAGAGACTCAACATCCTTTACTTCAACTGTTTAATAATGAAGAATCACAAGATAATATTTCAAAAGATTCTTCACCAACTGGAAGCTATAGAAGTCCAACTATAGCAATACCCCCGGTAAATATCAATACTATAATGCCACATATGGAAGATTCACCTTCAAGAACAATGACACGAGCTCACTTCCAAACAACTTTTCTTGTTCCAAAGTCAAAAGATTCTGATAATGGTTCTATCGATAGTAGGTTATCAAATTCGAGCAAAGATGGTGTCGGGAGTTCGAAATCACCTTTATCATCATCATTCAATTCTGATTCATCTATTTCAATTTTATCTACAAATTCTGAAGTTTCAAAAAGTGTAACTACGGACAAACAACAAGAAGAATCTTCTATATCAGCATCACAAAAAAATGCGTCGAAATCATCATCAGAAGCATTTGGATTATTACCACCAACGAATGGAAAGCCTGGAGGTCCAGTAAGACAAGAGAGCGGATACTTTACAGCTCAACATAGTTTAAGATCTAATATATCTGTAGAAGTTACTAATCCTACCATAAATTCAGGATCGAATTCAGGGGGCTTATTAACTCCTCCATTATCTTCACTTGCTGCACCAAAATCATCTAATGGATTAGGTTCGATGTCAGAATTCATAAACAATCACGGTAATTCTTCAACACATTCTTCGATATCAAAAATGGGATATGCTAGATCACCCGTAAGGCACGGAAGTTATGACATGCCCAATCATGATTCTTCTCATGGTGTGCCGCTTTATAGGTCAAGTAGCCAAGGAAAACAATATCCTACTTCTCAAGCAGCTCGTAGGGTTAGATCTGCCACTACTTTAAATACTTATAGACCGACTCACGAAGATATTATGACCAAATCTAAACACCTTCAACCAGATACTGACAATAATAATTTAGCCGTAGGTTCAAGACAGAGATCTACAAGTATAAGCAATGTGCAAAGATCTCCGAAACCAAAAGTAGGTTGCAATGATTTTTTTTTTTTTTTTTTTTAACATAAAAATATTTTTATTAAAATAATTACATTTATAATTGTGGTTGTGGTTGTTGTTAATAGCTTCTTGCAGACGAAAGCGGAGCCTCATCTCATTTACTTACACCTTCACCATCGTCATCAAAATTTAATCAATTAACTTTATCATTAAATCAACAAAATTCTCCAACTAGACCATTATTTACAGGAAATGGAGCAAGCGCACAAAATATATCTACAACAACATCAATAAATTATGCGGGACCTGAATTAAAATCATTAAAAATGGATAATTATCGTGGGAGTATTGAAGTTTATGAAGATTTATCAAAAACTACAGATGATTTATTACAATGGTTAACATTATTAGACGCCGGAATTAATCAATTATTAACAAGATTTTAAATTTTGGAAATGATGAAGGGAATATTTATTTAATATCATATTTATATATTTATACATTTATTTATTGAGTCTGAAGGTGGTAAATAATGATTGTTATAGAGTATATAGATAGGGTAAGTAATGGTTTATAAAATAATGATTTTTTTTGAACAGAATATTTACTATTGAAGGAAAAAAAAAATTTATTTTTGTTCATATATATATTACATCTTTTAAAACATAATTATTAGCTTTTTAGCATCTACTGTACATTTTATTTACAATAATTTTTTTGAAAAAATTTTAATTTTTTCTAATTTAATTATCAAAGTATAGAAATTGAAAACAATTTTGAGAATTTTAAATAATATTAATTAGCCTTGTCGGATTATATCCCTGACGCAAAAATTACCTTCTTTGACCCTCCTCGTGTTACTTTCTTGATTTTCTTGACCAGAAACGTGATAAAGAATTATGTGATAAATCAGCTACAATATTAGTGATAATTAATAAAAAATGCGTTAAAAAAATTTTTTTTTTTAAAAAAAAAAACAACAAAAAAACGTTTAGCGTAGACTTTATTAAATTTGTTAAACTTTATTGAAGGCAGCCTTCTCAATATCACCATTCCAAAACTTGAATTATAAATGATCAGAAATCATGAAATTAAGTTTAATTATATCAAACTTTCTAATTATAATAAACCATGAATAAAACTAAAGAGTAAAATTATTTTTGTTTTCCACTACAATTATCACACGTAACTCTGATGTTTTTGTGATAGATTCCAATGAAGCAAATTATCATATTCAAAGATTAAGAGTAATATTAGCTCCTTTAGGTGTTTGCATTAATACTGTAATTGATATTTACTAATTAAATAATTTCTTTGTGTTATAGGTTCTGAACCAATATTAGTAATTCCAAAAATATAAACATTAAAAAATAAACCTACAGGTTGTCATGATGAGTAAGAAATTGATATATTTTGAATTCAATCATAATAAATATGTAGAATCTTAGATTTTAATTGTTTATTAATATTAAAATTCTCATTATAATGTTGACATTTAACTGTTGCAGCTGCTCTATAAAGATTATATTTAGCTTAAATTTTTATTTATTTTTAATATCACTAACAACTCGAATTTTAACACAAAGTTATTCACAAAAATTACATAGATCTGATGCTTTAGTCATAAACTGAATATTTGATACAACTTTTTCAAATTTATAGAAAATTAGTATAAGCTATTACTTTATAATCTTTACTTTTATTAAATTTAATAGTAATAATTTATTCTTCATAAACACTGATATAGATTTTATCTACCAAAAATAAAATAACAGATGTAGTATTATTTCATATAGATCAATCTGATAAAGGAAACCTATAAAAATGAGTATAATTATAAAAGAAATTATTAAACTCTTATTTTATTTGATTATTAATAATAATACAATCAAATCTAATTACTTATAATATAGCTTGAGGTAAATGTGTTTCTTCAGGAATGTTTATTAATGTTCCTTTTTCTTTTTTATAGGAATAGCTCTTATGGATCTTTGAGGTTTTCAGAATTATTAATAATGCAACTTAGGGCAGCTGTGTTTTTCCAAAAACATTCATTAACATTTCTTTTTCTTTTTTATTTATAAGAACAGCTCTTGTAAACCTTTGAAATTTTCAGAATTATTGGTAATACAACTTGAAATAGTGTACTTTTTTAGAAACGTTTATTAATATTCTTTTTTTTTAAGAATGAACCCTTAACTTTCAGACTCTCTTAGAATTGGGATTGAAAAAGATAAGTAATACAGGCTTGGGATATATATATTTCTTTAAAAATGTTCATTAATGTTCCTTTCCTTTTTTTATAGAAACAACTTCCTTAAATCTTTGGAATATTAGCATCAAATCTGGATCGCTAAGTGAAAAAAAATTTATTAAAGATGATATTTTTTTTTCCTAAACTGCTGTATTATTTTTTACAATTTATATTTATGAAAAATGATTAATTTTATTTACGGATCTTACAAAAAGCATAGAAAATCATTTATTTTGAAATCTTTAATCTAATAAAAATAAATTCTATTTATTGAACGATAAATTTGTAATTTTTTTTATTAAAATATTTTATAAAGAATTAAAAATTTATATTGTAAATTTGACTCAAATAAATCCTAAAAAGCTTTATAAAGTTTATAATGTCTAGTATAAACTAAAGATATAAGTTTATTTGTAAAATTTAAATGTAAAAATAATAATTAATTAAATTAAAAAAATTAAATTAAATAAACAAATTAAATTAAATTGTTAAAATTAAATTAAATAAAAAATAATCAAATTAAATAAAAAAATTCTTTTTGTTTCTAAGTAAAATATAATAGCTAGCCAAAAATTTTTATAAATTTGGCTAGAATTTGATAACAAATTTTGACCAGACTAATGGTTATGATTACAGTCAATACCAATCCTACTATATGTACAAAGAGGTATAAAAAGTATTGGCCACCCAACATAATATAAGTGAGACGCGTGTTGTCGCACCCCTTCTAAATTAAACTGCAGATTTTTTATTTTAAATTACACGTAATTGTTATGTAAATGATCAAAATAAAAAAATCGCCATTTTATAACATAAAGTTGGTCATATGATTATACGAAAAAAAAACTTTTTTTATTAGTGAAAAAAATTTACCACAAGGATGTGTCATGGAAAGGAACTTAGTAAGGGCCAAAAAGAAGCTATTATCACAGCTAAAAAATTAGAACACACAAATACTAGGATTTTTGCAGTCATAAATTGCTTTCATTTTTCTATTTGACGTATTTGGAAGTTGTATAAGCTAAAAAGCCTTCCAAAAAAACGTTTGAGTCGACCACAAATTCTTAACAAAACTGAATGCAAACATCTCAAAAGTTTAGTGATTAGAAATAAAAAACCCATCGTCAAACCCTTTCTCAAATATGTTTAAATTTTATAAACGAAACAAACAAATCCATTTCCATACAAACTATTCAAAATGAATTAGCCAAAGAAAATCTCCATTTCCGAATTCCTTATTTCAGTCCTTTAATTTCTGAAAGTAATAAAGAAAACGTTATTTGTGAGCCTATACTTACGAAAATTGAATAGTAAAAGATTTTAAACGAGTTATTTGATCAGACGAGAGTACTTACACACAATTTAGAACTTCAGGTTTTGAACAAGTGTAATATGAACCTTCTGAAGAATTTCATGAAGACTGCATTGTAGCTACGGTCTAAAAGAGCTTTAGTCACATGTTCTGAAAGTATTTCTTCTGGATTGGCTTGGATCCCTTAGTTCCCTTAGAAGGTCACGTTACTGGAATTACGCATCATGACATTTTAGCTAATTATGCCATTTCTATAATCAAATTTCATGCAAAAAAGGGCAAAAAAGGTTTTTTTTTCAAGAAGACAACGCGTTCGTATACATTGCAAAAGTCACATGTTCATTTCTCACATCCTCAAATGTTGAAGTGCTTTTCTGGCTAACCCAAAGCCCCAATATCAACCCAATTATAGATGCCTGTCGAAACCTTCTCAAAATAATTTCGTCATACCCTTTTCTATGTTTTTAATATAGTTTCGACAGTTTCAGCTTTCGTCGTATCGAATGGGTTTCATCGTATCCCTTATTATGATTTAAATATAGTTTCATCTAAGTTTCGACTGTTATTAAGAGGTTTCGTCCCTCATCTATAAACCCAATAGAAAATATATAGTCATATATTGAGGTCAGATCTGTCAACGAGATTCCTAGCCATCAAGTGTTAGGCAGTTGGAACAGTGGGTTAAAGAGGAGTGGAATGTGATACCTGTAGAATATTACTATAATTTGATCAAGTTAATATCACGTCGGGTTCAAGCTGTTCTTGCGGCTAATGGAGAACTAACGAAATATTAACCTATATTTGATAAAAATAAAAAAAATAAAAAATTATTAAGTTAGTTATTTCGTAAAACATTTTACAAAAGTGGCCAATACTTTTTATACCCCCTGTATATTTTTTATCCTTTAGATTGTCAGACAGACAAATTTGCCTGTAAACTTTAATTTTTTTTTTTAAATGTATATATTGTCAGACAGGCAAATTTACTTATTAATTTTAAGATTAGCAAAATATTGAATAAGTAAATTTACCTATGAAAATTTAGAAAAGATTAGTAAATACATTAATTATTAAGCAAGCAAATTTACTTATGAATTTTAAGATCAATAAAAATGCATAATTGTCAAATAGGCAAATTTGTCTATAAATTTTTTAGATAAAATTATTAGATAAGCAAGTTAATTTAGAAATTAAAATTTTTTTTTTTTATATAAATCATATGAAATCATAAAGTTAAATCTTTAAAAAATCTAAAAGACAAATTTAATTACAAAATATGAACTTTTTTTTAAATGATATCTGCTTATCTAATTTATTAAGCGAGTTTTTATTAAATAATAAAATTTATATTTGTCATTTTACTTGTGAACAAGATTTAAAATGTTTAAAAAAATATTTAGATAAATTAATTAAAAATACTAGTAAAAATAATAACAAAAATAAATGCAAAAAAAATCTGTAATAACTTATAAATCATCATTAAAAATTTACTCTTTCAACATATTTATCATTTACATAATACTTTATCTATTATTTTTAATAAATTAAATTTTATCAAAATCCTACTTTTTACTTGATTTAATTTATTTTTTTTGAAAAATTATTAAATATTATTGTTAAAAATATAAACATTTATGCTACAATTTAAAGAACAAAGCAAGGTACTAACTAATATAGAAAAGGTAAACATTAGATTAATTTGATCATCAATGAATTAAAAATATAGTTAGCACTTATTATATATATGGGAATATTTAAATTTCTAATAATTAATAATTATTAGATAAATGATAGTTTTTATCCTTTACATAAACTTACTAAAATGATATCATTATTCTGATTTTAATAAGTAAGTTTAATAACTATTATTTATTTTTTAA